TCGGACGTTAAGCAGCCCTCAGCTTAGAAGAATGGAATGTCAGGCTTACTCGCTTGGTAGAGTCTAATTAATCCAAAGTCAACAAAACAACCCACCCCCCTCTGGGCCCAGAAATTAGGACAAGTTGGTCTGGAAGGACAAATACACCAACACGAACATTGTTCGCCTCACGATGCAGATTGTTTTGACCAAAATCGCTGCTCAGTAAACTACCTCAGTGGTACTGAAAAGGTTGAAACTTGTGGTGCATCCGGGGGGGGGGGGGAGGGGGAGGGAGGTTATCACTGTTTAGTTGTTTAGCGCTGCACTTTCGTCTCTCAATCGACCTTCACCTACTTTAGAATTACTTGATTAGACTGCTTCAGATAGCAACCTTAAACTACTTTAGAACCAAACAAAACATTATGAACAATGGGTTGATGAGATCCTAAAAACTTTTGAATAAATCAGTTATCACGATTGATTACCATTATTTAGAGAAACTACCTTTGTATTAAACAACAACTAAGTCTCTAACAAGACAATTATGAGCTGTACAAAAATATAATAGTCAGAATCAAGCCAGGTGAATCCTCCTTGAATAGATGTTTCAGAAGGAACCCTAGTCATCATTGTAATGGGCATCCTATTTTCAGTTGATAGTGCACAGTTCAGCGCCAAAGAAAACAGGACTAGCCCTGTGAGAGCAGTAACGAGAGATTAGCTTCATGAGTAAGTGACCACTGCCGCCACTCGTTTGCCACCCCTATTCCAAACAACAATTTGCCAGAGAGGCTTTACAAAACGTGCTGGTCGGCGAGAATGACGACCTCGTTGCCTGCCAAGCACGGGAGGGATGCATTGGCTGGCGCTGGGTGCAAGGGAGTAAAGCACGGGTATTACATCGCAATACATCGTGTTCCGATGTCGCACGACGACAGCGATGGCCATCATCACAAACTTTAAACAGATTTCACTCTACGGCGATCCGACACGATGTCAACCGGAATTTAATCGCTTCGCGGTTTTC